GACCATAATTTCTCATAACGATTTGCCTCGTTAAAGCTAATAATAAAAGAAAAAAAAAAAAAAGAAAAGAAAAGAAAAAAACATATAATATGTTCGTTCGAGACGCGCAAACACCTAAACTTAGAAAATCATACTCTCTCAATATAGTTTTTTTAACGAGTTAGGTGACTGTTTTCCCAGTACAGATTTCGAGTAATTCCCATGAAAAATGAGCTAGGATAAGATTCTTTGTTTAAGTCTTTTTCATATTAAACAATTTTGCATTATCAGTGGAGAATAAAGAAACAATACTCAAGGGAATGCCATTGTGCACGGTAGGAATGACTCTACATCACATATGAGTAGAGTTTGTTAGGTCTATAATGCATACAAATTAGCCAATATCGATTAAATATGTGCACCAATATTCACATTTTTTCATTTTAAAGCAAATATTTCACTTTAAATACATGTGTATGATCATGAGTGAAAAAAAAAAAAAAAAACAATTCAAAAAGCTCTAGAGTTTGTAACCGTTCGGTTATTCAGCATCAAAAACGTTTTGTGAATTATTTGATTTACAATTTGTTTGGGAGGCCAATGTTAACGTATTCGCACTATAAAAAACTGTTAAAAATAGAACAGTTAAAGTGAGCGGAAAGAGGAAAATGTTCGTAACAACTCATGTGTCAAACTAGCGTGACCGCATCATAAAGATATTTGATTTATCGGAAAAATAAGTTTAAAAAATTCAAAGTTTCGTAAAGTTTTGGAAGATTTTTGAAAGTATTTTTGTGGAATTTGACACAAAGAGATGTATGCGTAGCCTGGTCACTTTTTCCCATAAGTCAAATATCTTGTAATGGCACTTAGGGTGATATAGGTTTATAGACAAAAATGAATATATTAATTATGCTTCACTGGAACGATGAACAATGGTTTAAAGAATTCGAATCACGAAAAGGGAAAAAAAAATTCTGAAAAGGCGAAATTTGTTGAAAATTATATCTTAGCTCTTAAGGTATTTAAACTAACTTAGGAAAACTCTGCAGTCAACCAAAAGTTAGACGACGGAAGTTCCAAGAAGTGAAGCTATTAAAACTGAATCTAATGTAAAAGATAACGGTCTTTCTACGTTTTACGACCACCATAATTTCGCGTGATAAATCACCTTGTTGATTTGTTCGTCTTATCAGGATATTTCAAAATATGCAAACACCTTAGTGATTTTGCCTCTCTGGACTGAGTTTTTGGCTCAAAGTTCACAAAGTTGAGATTTTGGTTTACTAATAAAGGAAAATTAAATTAAGTTAACAAATAAATTTTACCAAATATAAATGAATGCCATTCAAATGCGTATAAACAGGCTTCAATATTGATAAATAATGATGAATGAATAGCTAACGAATAGCCTAATGCTTCATTGAAGTTTTCTATTTCAAATAACTAATAGCATTTAGAAAAAAAACACGCTTTTCAAACTTTTCAAAACAAGTTTCTTTCGGCTTCTAAACGTAAAAAAGATACTCAAGATTCTGGTTAACTCATATCGTTTTTTGATACTTTTTGTGAGAAAACTTAAGGTTATATTTCTGACATTACTTTTCCATCCCTTAGACTTTCATTACACGAAGTAATTGCTTGGCAACGAAAAGCGAAAATTATATCAAATATATAACATGATTTTCAATATCTTTATATTATTCTCTTTATTTTATCAAAACTTAGATTAAAGTATTGCTCTTATACTTTACTTTGTTCAGTGGGTAAATTTAGAGATTGTCATAAAACTCTAATATTTTGGTATTCAGTTATTATATGATGTGAAATATGCTAGCCCCCAAGTTAAAAAACACCACGAAATGTGAGTTATTTCTGTAACTTTCCCCAGAGGAAGTATTTGACATATGTTTAGTTAAAGTTAAAGAGACAAGAGAGTCAAAATAAGAGGATGCTTAAATACCTACCCAAAGAAACTGTTGTCTGTAGACATACCGCGAGCAAACTACATACCACAAAGAGCTTACACATCATAGATTGTAGTTTACTCATAAAATACACCCCTCTTCAATGTTGCTACTGAAATATTTCGACGTTCAGCTAGTTACACACTACCATTAACTCGACATTCTCTTATCGGTATATATACTTCGATGTATGGGCTGGGACAAACAGCTCAAAGAGGGAAAAAAATTAAAGGTAGTTAAAATCCTTGAGATTTTCTAATGAGGTACTTGGGGGAATGACGTTTGTGAATTGATAAGAATCTGTAACTAAGCTTGAGCGGGGGGCTAGCGTGATATTAATCATCTTGGTGAAGCGTGAAAAATAATAATTAATACAGCGATCTTTGCAGCCGTTCCCACCAAGCACACGCGAATGATTCAGGCTCCGTCCACACTATGCCGGATAAATTTGAATCCGAATTTTTATTTATTCGGTTAGGCCTACCGTCCACACTAGTCCAGGCGAATCCGGAACAATTCTTCACCGAAAACGAATTTTCGAAATGAAACCGAATAAATAAAATTCGGATTCAAATTTATCCGGCATAGTGTGGACGGGGTCTCAGTATCACAGAAAATCCGAAATTCGTGAACGTCAATCAAAAGCTTGCACTTAGAACTGAATGTCAAAAAATTTTTCATTTTTGTTTGATGTCCAGAAAATGGTCACGTGGTATTGATGGGTTGCAAGCATTCCCAAGAGAGTTAAAAGACAAAAACATGGCGGCCATTGTGGTACCGTTAACAATGGATGCTGATGAGAAATCTTTTGTTAAGTTGTACCAACATGGCCGCGATGACGTAACGTGCAAACGAAGAATTATTTTGTGTGGTTGTCAATCCAACTTGTTTTTGGTCATCCAACATGGCGCGATTGAGTTTCCCCACGAGCGGCAGCCACGTTAGCTTGAACAATAAAATTTCCCCGCATAGCCTCGTATTCAGGCGCTTCAGGACGAGGCTACGTGGGGTTAAACAAAGTTTTTTAATTCTCAGGAGAATAAACATGGCGCGAGTGATCAAGGTCCCGATGGTGATGTTACGAGACAAAACTTAACTAAATCTCATTTGCATAATCACGTCATTAGTATCGCCATGGAAACTCTCATACTTCATTGATCACCTATATAATTTGATAAACTAGACGAATTAATAACCAAAATCAAAAAAAATGTGGATGATTTTTCGTCTTAATGAGGACGTTTAAGTTTATGAAAGTCATAATATTTCTTCCCTTCAGTTTGCGGTCATGGTGCGGCTATAACTCACAGTTCAAATCGGAATCTAGCGTACGCTTTGCAAAAGGAAAAAATAAATAACCCCCCAAATCAAGGGAGAGACCCAACAAAGGCTACTCACATGTGTTGCAGAGTCCAGCAATAGAACCTGAGACCACAGAGGCGAGAGGCGAGAGGCGAGAGGCGAGAGGCGAGAGGCGAGAGGCGAGAGGCGAGAGGCGAGAGTCCAGGAATAGAACCCGAGACCACAGAGGCGAGAGGCGAGAGGCGAGAGGCGAGAGGCGAGAGGCGAGAGAAGCAATTGTTTATTGTTTATTTATGCATATTTACCCTGAATACAACTCTTCATTATCGAGGTTTTGAGTTATCACATGACAGCAGATGATGGATGATAAATCGAGCAATGCAGGACTGCCAACCAACCACAGGCAAGCTATATATGGCAGCCGGCACATAATCATACACTATCTCTTTTTCTAGTTTCATTTCATTCTTACAAGAATGTGTTATACTGTAGTTAATAGTAAAAATTTTAATGTTATCACCACCTGTTGAAGCGTTTTTTCAAAGCCCATCTAGATTTGAACTCCCTTTAAATTGCTTGGACTTATATTTGCTGTCATAAACCGAATCAAAATATGGCAATCAATTTGAATAACTATTGTTTACACTGACTAGCGACTGACTCAGCCTCTTATTCACGTGGAAGCATAATTGAAAGCGTTTTCACATGTACGGTGCAGAACAATAGTTATTCAAATTGGTCGCCATATTTCGATCCAGTTTATAGCAGAGGGTTGTTTTTATGCCGTATTACAAATATAGGCAGGGCTAGGAACTTTGTTGGGATGCACTTTTAATGCGTTTTTGAGGGAAAACTGATATATGTGCAATTCGTTAGCCATTTATGAGTTCATCCATCTCTGTGAGGTAAATAAAAGTATAGATCATTAATGAGGAAAGACACATTATATATCAGTAAAGTAGGAGAAGTCCGTAAATTAGATACAGAATCATCCTCCTTTGCATTTATAGGGCTCCAGTTGATAGCAGTACTTTTGTTACTGAAGGGAATACCCTACTTAAATAAAGGTTTTCATTCATTCATTCCAATTCATTCAACTTCAACATGGATTTTATCGGTCAAATTCACTCCAATCTCGGTCAAATTCAATCCATTCTCAGGAATATTCGTGAAATAGAAATTGCATTCCTTGAATCTTGATACACATTGGCAATATTGACGTCCGTCCGTCCGTCTGTCCATCGCTACTTACTTAGTTCACAGTTTTTCCCGGTAAAACCTGGACGGCAGATGCATCTGAACCCATCAACAGTATCAGTACATGTTGCACCAATCACGCAGGTACAATCGGGACCAAGGTCTAGGAAGATTAAGAAACAGTCAGAAAGAAAGAAAAAAATAAAAAAGAATAAAGAAGGTATGAGGGGAGAAAGACTTTATAAGTATAAAACGTATACGCAATCCTTACCTATCTCGCAATGTTTTCCTACATAGCCAGGTCTACACGCACATTTGTAATCATTGACCAGGTCAGAACATGTTCCTCCATTTCTACATGGCTTTGATTCACATTCATTTATATCTGGAATTAAAGATGACATTCAATGACTCGTTACTGTTCCATCCCATCCATCCCTCCCTCCCTCCCTCCCTCCCACCATCCATCCATCCATCGCTATATTACTTACTTAGTTCACAGTTTTTCCCGGTAAAACCTAGACGGCAGATGCATCTGAACCCATCAACAGTATCAGTACATGTTGCACCATTCACGCAGGTACAATCGGGACCAAGGTCTAGAAAGATAAAGAAACAGTCAGAAAAGGACGAAGAAAAAAAAGGGACGAAGGAAGAAGAAATGAGGAATGAAGGAAGAAAAAGGGAAATAATTACTTGTCTGGCAGATTTTCCCCATCCAACCAGGTCTGCATGCACATTTAAAGTCATTCACCAGGTCAAAACATGTTCCTCCATTTATACATGGATCCGGCTTACAATCATCTATATCTGGTAAGGAAGCAAAGGACCTTTACAGTAATTGTAAGAAAATATAACCAAATGTCCATATCTACAAGACTTCAATGACCAACTTTCAATACTTTGGTGAGTAATCAAACACGAACGATACCTGACATTTCAGCACGTTATTTGAGAATATTGAAGTGTTTGACGTCCACACGTATCCGGAAATTTTTATATCCAAAATTTTTTTTGCGGATACGGTTTGCGTCCACGCGTATCCGGAAATTTTTGTATCCGTATCCGGTATTATTTTTGAAAACGGTCTCCAGAGTGGAAATTTTCGAATACGCTCAGAATACGGATACGTGTGGACGCAAATCAAGAAATTTCCGGATTCGTGTGGACAGTGAAAACGATTAGAATACGCTGCGTGTGGACGCAAACATTTTCGTATCCAAAAAAAAAAAAAAAAATTTTGCGGATACAAAAATTTCCGGATACGTGTAGATGGGGCCTGAGTGAGAAAATTTTCTCCAAGTATTTAAAAATTTTGCGAATATACTATTGTCAGACCAAAATAACGTATTAACAAACGCAATATAAAAGAATTTATTAGCCTTAATTTCAAGCATGGACACTAAGTTTTGGCATTTTGTGAAGTCCAATTTATCAGGTATGTTTGAAGTCTAATTTACATATGTTTTGAATAATTTGCATACGGATTCAGAGCATGCGCAGACGTTTTTCGCTCGTGTCCACCAAACCAGGATATACAGTAGACTGCGAGCTACGTCCCTCTATTTCCCTCGGTCAGCGTCCGTCTGTCTGTCCGTRTCGATTGGTCGAGGAAGATTGGTTACGAGTCAAAAGTCCCTCGGGGAGGGGACAGGGGAGAAGGGAGGGAAATAGAGGGAGCATTTTCACTAATCCCCTATAGAGTTAAATGAGAATAGAGATGGAGGTTATATTGGTGTATCTAACAAAAGAAATTAATGACAATTAAAGTTATTGTCAAAGGTACGGCAATTGCTGGCTTTCACTCAGCTGATAAAGGTTTTTGAATCTCATTATCTTCTCCAGATGGTGGTCAAACACTGAACACTATGTGCTGTCAACCAGAAAGAATTCTATTGAAAACTTCCGATTCGAACGATGAACGTTCTGCACGAGAAAATGACGTCAACTGAAACCCAGCAATAGACATCTTTATCTTGGGCGTAATATTTTCCCATTTCAGACACGTATCATTCTCTTGAGAATAAGGTTCTTTGTTTAAGTGGTATCCATGTTCATGTATCTTCTCAAGCCCAACCACGTTAAACAAAGAAATGATCCTGCAAGAACATTATGCCGCCCAAGCTCAAGAGATTTATTAAGAATTCTTTAAGATAACTGGTTCCTGGTCTTACTGTGTTCACAGTTTTTTCCTGTAAATCCTGCGATACATGTACATGAGTAGTTCTGGACAAGATTGTTGCATGTAGCACCATTTCTACAGGGATTGGACTGACACTCATTTACATCTGGTGAGATATAATCAATCATATATTCAATTGTGAGTTAGCCATGCTCTGACTTAGATCAGCCCAGAGGTTGTTTCAGGGTTTGATATGTGAGTTAGCCATGCTCTGACTTTGATCAGCCCAGTGGTTGTTTCAGGGTTTGATATGTGAGTTAGCCATGCTCNGCTCTGACTTTGATCAGCCCAGTGGTTGTTTCAGGGTTTGATATGTGAGTTAGCCATGCTCTGACTTTGATCAGCCCAGTGGTTGTTTCAGGGTTCTATCTGTGAGTTAGTTATGCCCTGACGTAGATCAGCCCAGAGGTAGTATCAGGGTTCTATCTGTGAGTTAGCCATGCCCTGAGTTAGATCAGCCCAGAGGTTGTTTCAGGGTTCGATCTGTGAGTTAGCCATGCCCTGACTTATATCAGCCCAGAGGCTGTTTCAGGGTTCTATCTGTGAGTTAGCCATGCCCTGACTTAGATCAGCTCAGAGGTTATTCTATGGTTGGTGTTATTTTGAATTCTGTTCATTAATATTTAATCATTTGTAGTCTGTTCATCGTTACTTACCTACACATCCATAAAGCTTAACACGTAGAGATTGAACACCAGTCCAAGTGACGGGATGTATTCTGACGTAAATTGCTGTTATGACTGGCCTTATAACGTTCATTACGACTGTGTTCGGGTTTGCGTCACCAGAAAAATTCTAAGAGGAAATAAAATGACAGAGCAATATTCATAATCATTTATATGTCACAAAACATTGTATACCCAATAATTCATGAGATATCTAAGCCAACTGGAAACAACCTCTGGGCTGACCTAAGTCAGGGCACGGCTAACTCACAGATCAAACCCTGAAACAACCTCTGGGCTGACCTAAGTCAGGGTACGGCTAACTCACAGATCAAACCCTGAAACAACCTCTGGGCTGATCTAAGTCAGGGCATTGATAACTCACAGATAGAACCCTGAAACAACCTCTGGGCTGATCTATGTCAGGGCATGGCTAACTCACAGTTCGAACCCTGAAACAACCTCTGTGCTGATCTATGTCAGGGCACGGCTAACTCACAGATAGAACCGCACCTCTGGGGTTATCTAAGTCAGAGCCGGCTATATAGCGCATTTCAAATATCTCAATGCGCTTTGCATTTATGACCAGTGGAGGACTTTAAGGACTTAACTCACAGATTAAATTAGAATTTAGCTTGTTAGGCTTCAAGTTGGGAAGGAAGTCGGAAAACCGGAAAGCCCGAAAAAAAAATCCGAATCAAGGGAGAGACCTAATTAAAAAACTCGACTCACATGTGCTACCAAGTTTAAGAACCAAACCCGAAACCCCAGAGTTGAGAGGCGAGTGAATTACCTCTACACTATACTTGTTTTTTCGTTTTTCTCAGGTTTTGTTTTCAATTGATAGAGTATACTGCGAGCAGTCCCTCTATTTCCCTTGGTCACTRTTCGTCTGTCTGTCCGTGTCGATTGGCCGAGGAAGAATGGTTATGAGTCAAAAGTCGGCACGGACAGACAGACGGAGCGTGACCAAGGGAAATAGAGGGACTAGAGATAATTATCCTCTGTGTTGAAATATATAGTGCTCGAAGCTGGAAACCTACCTTGATAGCTCCAGTAACTGTTCGGTAAAATATCCACGTGTTACCGTCCATACTATACGACATTTTATACCCAGCAGTGACCGAGTTCAAAGCTCTTTTAGCGCAGCCGCCTTGGGTAACTACTCCAGTAATAATGTGGGGGTGTCGCAGGTAGATCTGTAACCATGGCTTGATGTCATATGGAGATGGGGACCAACCACAACACGTCCAAGTGGGTTTGTAGTAATGCAGACCTGAGGAAAGTCTTACTTTGCATGCTTTGTGCCGGAAGTTTCTCACAGACGACGCAGTTATTGAGCTGCATGGTATTGTATGGCATTGCATTCCAAGTGGGCTGGAACAGACTGTAAAAATTCACAGAATAAAATACTGTACCATGGACGTATAGTATTCAGTAAGGAACTAACCCACCAACCCACCAACCCACCAACCCACCAACCC